GTTGTCATTGCTCTCGTTTTCGGTAGGGCCCAGGAGATGCCCTCTCTCTGACTCCTCAGAACCACCTGGGAAATTGCTCAACTTACCAACCTCGGGTCTACTGAATCAGAGACTCTGTAGGTCCCTGTCACCTGTGTTTTAACAAGGCCTCCAGGCGATCCCGACCGTCACTGAAGTCTGAGAACCTCTTGTGTAGTGCAAAGTGCTGTGCGGAAATCAGCTAAGCAGAACTTGCACCTCGCTGTGTTCTGTTTTGAACAGTGAGAAAGTCGAGCCAGGCTGATGTTGGGATGAGGTTATCCTGGGTGTGTACATGAGTGAAAACATGTTTTTCATCAACATGGGACAAAAAAGGGCCACCTTTAATTAAAAGCGATAGTTAACTTGTAATTATTCAATGGTAATTTCAGAGTTTGTGGATCATGTAGGACATTTGCTACTTCCTAAAAATTCCCTCTTTTGAAAATCCTTCCTTCCTTCCTTACACCTTGGTTTACAAAACAATGATGTGTATGGGCTGAACAGAGGTTTACTCATGCTATGAATTGTTTTTTTATTTTTATTTTTTAGATTTACATTTCCTCTGGTCTCAAAACGGAACCAAGAAAAAGAAAATACTCATAAAAAAACTTGCCTGGGAACTCATGGCAAATCCTTCCCTAAGCCATTGCAAATGCGCAACAAGCAAAGGCCAGATAAACTAGCCCGTGCGACTGGCAAAACTGTTAGTTGCAAGGAGCAAGGAGGCAGCCCAGGGCGAGGCCTCACAGCCTACCCTCTGTACTTCTGCAGACTTCCGCCTCTCTGGCCTTCCTCTGCCCTGGCCAGGAGCCTGGAGGAGTGAGACGAAGATGGAGTTGCCCAACAGGCAGTGTGGGTGAGAGCGAGTTTCTTTCACAGAGTCTGGGCCTCATAAAACACATTCTATCAATGGTGTTCGTGACGTCTTTTATCTCTGCGCAGGTCTCTCCTCCCCCCGCCCCCGTTGTGGTCCGTGGCCTGTTGAACTGGGCTGCAGGGCAGGTTCATGTGTATTTGCAGCCGCTCCGCATCGCCCACATCCCCCCATGAAGCTCCACCACCTGTCCCCAGGTCAGCGGCATTGGATTCTCACAGGAGCACGGCCCCCCTACTGTCAACTGCGCATGCGCGGGTCTCGGCTGCACGCTCCTCACGAGAATGTAATGCGGATGGTCCGAGACGGTGATGCTGGCGCTGGGGAGCAGCTGCAAATACAGATCGCCGTTAGCAGAGAGGTTCGACTGCACGATAAATGCAATGTGCGTGAATCATCCCCAAACCATCCTCTCCAACCCCATAGAAAAATTATCTTCCATGAAACCAGCCCTTGGTGCCAGAAAGGTTGGAGACTGCTGTTTCACCTCGCTACGTATAGGGCTTTCAGGTGAAAGGTGATGGCGAATAAAAAAAAGAAATTCAGCATTCGTGTCAGAATTGGTGTAGAGTTGCACGTCTGCCAGTAAAATCTTGGTATGGGTTTTTAATTTTTTTGAAACTAATGAAGCAGAACCTTAATTAACCAGAATCCTGAATTTAATAGGATTTTCTCCCAGTGTGAGGCATCTTGATTTTAGAATCACATAGTAATAAACCGGTGTTAGGAATTTTGCGAAAGAACGGCCCAGTTGGGTTCTTCTGGTTATTTCTCTAGCAGTTGTTATTTCGGAATGAAAATCTGGAAGCGTGGCGAAACCCAACTGATGTTGAGATAAGGCTGACAGAAGGCTGAGCTGATCGATTTTGAAATAGTTTAGTCATCTTAAACCAGTGTAACTTTGCTAAAGGATAATCGGGTATGTGGCATTGGTGGGAAAATTAAGCAAGGACCCTGAACAGCCTGTTGGTTGAGGTGCTGTTGTTCACACCCTCGCTTTTTTATCCTGGACTGAGAATTTTACCATTCGGAATTCCCTTTTCTGAGACAGGTCGTGATTATTTAGAAGTGTGCAGAGATCTGTCCTGTGAAGCAGAGCCAGAGGCCGTGGGCGCTTACCAGCGATAGGGCCTCCACTGTTGGAACAGCAGTGTTACTGATAGAAAGGGGGCAGCTCCCTTAGTGATGACGACAGCCACGCAGATGCCCTTGGGAAGCCTCCTACCCGTGAGCCTGTCCTGAGCGCCCCAAGCCGTGCGTGCACCGGGCAGTCTTCGGGAAGAGAAGCTTAGGCCTTCAGGTTGCTCAGAGGATAGTTGCATGCCTAGGCCCTCCCTGCAAACTAGCTCAGAGTGGCTGTAAAACAGGTTTGAAGGGAAAAAGAAGTTATTTCCTGATCAGCTCGGCTTCTGCGGTTATACGCTAATGACGTATGATCTTTTGAAGCAACAAGAGGAATTATCAGAATCCTAAAATAATTACGAAGAATTCTTGGAGTGGTCCTTGAGTCCATTATGCTACTGCCAACCTCACCAGTCAGAAGTAAGTTTAACCGTCCCCCCGACGTGAGTCACACTCTATTAGAGAAGACTCCATAGCCAGTTTCTGGTTTCGTTTCCTCTCCTCATTTTCAGTATGTTGACCAACATAAGTTGTTAACTTACAGTTATAAGAGTTCTTTTAAAATCTGGTATCATGATATCTATTACGTAGGGAAAGTTTTTGATACAAAGGTCTAAGCAGATAATTCTTACTGCATCCTAGCAAATTCAGTCTGGTAGCCTAGCTCACCCGCCCCCCCCG